AAAGATTGCCTTAAGAGTTAAAGTCACAGAAAACAGGATTCTATTTTCAATGCCCAGATCATTCTATATTTTAAGTATTACATTCTAAACCAACAATATTTAATAACAAAAGATAGTTAAAAGAGGAAATTGGGAAGCTGCTTTGTGATGGAGTGAAAGGATTCTACAGCATATCTGGTGAGAACATATATTTGCTAACTATGTGAAATTGATGGGATCATCTGATAGCTGTTGTGCTTTAACTCTTTGAAATGAGTTTGAAGGTCAAAACCTCTCCACAGACTTTTGTAAAAGGTTTTATTTCCTTTGGAGCAAAACCTAGATCAAGAGTGAGTTTGACTTGCTACAGGAAAAGCAATTAGGTCCTCTAGGTAAACGAGGGATTTTTTTTTTCTGTCTTTTAAGCAGCAGATATTTTGCTATAATGACTTGATCAGAAGTGAAAGGTCTGGAAATTTACCTTTTTACATGATGCGGCTGGAGAATGAAAATCTTTTGACCAGTGAATATGAACAGATAAGCGAAGCAGCTCGTCAGTCATCACTTCGGAAGGGTGTCCTGCAGGCCACCACCCCTGAGACAGCTCTGTCCCTGGAAGTGTAGGAGGGAGGTGCTGCCTGCCCCGAGCTGGGCGATCTGGGGCCCGGGGCTGCACAGAGTGGCCCCGGAGCCTCTGTAAGCATGGTGCTGACTTTGTGTTTTCAGATTTTGTCCATTTGACCTTAGTTTTTACCCTGCCAATAATCATTTTTTTCAGAGTCCTGGGGAAGCCACAGGGTTCATTATTTTTAGCTCCTTGATGGGATTAACACTTTTTGGTTCTAACAAAGCAGGACCTCTTACAGGTGAATGTAGAGAAGGCTCAGAACTTGGGAAAATATTGTGGATCCAGTAAAGTACTTTGACTAATATTCTTTTTCTCACTGGAATTTGAAAAATCCTTTTAGGATACAAAATTCTTAGAAAGATTTTTCCCAAGGCCAGCAGCTCTCCTCACCCGAGCCAGTGGGCACTTTTCATCAACTTATTTGTCAGTGATGGTTGAAGACAGAATACCTCCAAAGAAAGGTCCAGGGTCTTTAAGAAATAAGGAACTTTTGGGAAAAGTCCATTATTAAAAAAATTCCTCCATTTCCAAAGAGAGACACTTAAAACACCCAAACTCCTTTCTAGCAAACCTGGTAAAATATTACTAACAAGCTACTTTTTTTTGAGGTTGGGGGAGAACTGTGGTCAGAAGAGCTCAACTAATATTAAAAGATCTAAAAGGAAATTGTGTGGGCCAAGGAAATAAAGGCCACTTGTTCAAAAAGTGGGGGAGAAGTGCTGTTAATGGTATAAATGTATTTATAAAAATATAAATTTTTCTGTTTAAAATCTCTATTACTTATAATGAGGAAAGACTGATACATGACTAACAGCATGGATTTATAAATTTAAAAAAGAGTACCTTTGGTCTTAATTGTATATGATATAGTAAATAATACTTTATTAATGTGACATACAGGTTTATCAAATGATTTTTCTAACTCACTTGACCAGAAATTCATTAATCAGATCATCGTAACTTCATTTGCAATTAATATAATTGAAAGTGACATCTGTTGCTCATGGCAAATGCTAGATTGCAAGCAATTGGTTTTTAAATTTGAGAGATCTTTGTACGGATGCAACTGTTACTATAATGTTAAGATTATTCCTCTAGCTCACAACATTGGGATACATCTCAGATAAATCATTCCAAACTATAAATTTTAGTATATTTAGAGTTGACAATTCTCATTGAAAATTTCTCTAAAAAGATTTAACTCTTCATACAAATCAGTTTTATGCAAATCCAAATTTTACTTTCAGGGTAAATTTATGAAATGTCATTTTAATGTTTTCTCTGACATTTTCTGAAATTTGTGGGACTTGTTCAAGAAACAAAGTGGCTTTATTATTTGCATAAAATTCAAAATCCTGCAGTTTGCATTTTATCATTATAGCTTCAGTTACAAGAAAGACAAATTTGTCTTCCTTATTAATAACTGGTTTCTCTTAACTTTCATATGAAACTACATTCTTTTCCATAGATTGTGATGTTCTTTAAATTTAATTTCTGTTTTTAGGTGTGGATGCCTGCTTTGCAATATTGCACTCGTTTTCAAAACTGGAGATTCTGAAGTCTTAAAATTCATAACTTCTGATAACTTCGTGATATGCATTATGATGCTGTCCACGTGTACAGTTTTATTTTGTAATAACTTACTGACAAATTTTGCTGTGTGAGCACTGGTAGGTCCTGTCTGGATTCTCAGCCTGGAGGACTAGTGGCTAGGCAGCTGCTGCAGGGATGGGCCCCAGAGGAGATGGGCACAGCCTCTGTCACATGTCCTAGGGTTGCCTCGCCCCCTGTGGCACCTCCCTCTTTCCCAGCTGAGGCTGCGGCAGCCACCTGTAACCAAGCTAAGCCAGGTCCTGGTCCCCCAGCACCCCACACCACTCCAGTTCACACACCTGTGTGCCAGGTCACCTGCCGCGGTCACGGGCACCCATGCAGGTGTTGCATCCCTGCGGCCTCGACCGTGCACATGCACCTGCTGCTTCTGCCAGCCCACCTCAGGATGCACCAGCTTCTGCCCAGCGTGTCCCCTCTACTCAGTTCCACAGGCCCAGTTGGCTTCATTCGCCAAATTCAACTCCAAGGATAAGATTATTTCCAGACACTGCAGCAGAGCAGCCGACCAAGCCCAGGGCGCTTCCCAGCACAGGGTACTCTGCCCCTGCATTGAAGCCAGCCATGACTGTGTGCAAAATCACCTGGGAGTACATAAGAACCCCAGCTAATGGAGAAACATGTTCCTTAAGACACAGGTGAGAAAGGTAGAGATGTCAGACATCTGTGGAGGAGCCATGAGTGGGGAATCAGACTCAGACTAAGAAACGCTGTGCAGACACATGGCCTAGTAGTCCCTGATTGTAGTCTCGTTTTTGTTTCTTTTTTTTTTTTTTGCAAAATGTGCAATCATAGTGAGTTTTTAACAATTTCTACTTCTGGTTTTCTTAAAGAGTAGTTATGAATTCAAGACATTTGTGATGTAATCTGAGCCAAAGCCTTTGAGATTCTAACTTTTCTCCCCCGATACGTCATAATTCCCTTCCCATATTTTGAGAACAAATATTTTTAGAAACTCAGCTTTGTAGTACTTTCTGCAACGTTCAATTTAGTTTTCGTAGAAATGTCTTTCTTTTTGCATTCATGTATTATTGATCTTTAAACTTTTTTTTCAAGTAATTGCAATTCTGAGTTCAATTAGTGTAAATCAGGTTCAGCAAGCACAGTGAATTTAGAGTAACAACTCAGTTGGAGAGAAGATAATAGAGCTGTGAGAATACAGACCCAGATATCAATCAGAATGTTTTGCAGTGGACATGGACAGCACTGGTTTCTGGTGAGCTGGTTTAATGGGAATTAGTTAAATATGGTTTCGTAGCAGTTCAACTCCACTGTATATGATGTGGGGCACAAATATTTATCTCCATATCTATTTTTACAAAGATCTGTACCCAATAACATTCAAAGATAATTATTTTTATTTTACTTAAAAGATGATACTTTTGAATTAAAGTGGTTGTCTACTTGACGATGCACACTTCTCTCCTTTTTCATTCTTATTCTGCTTTGTTATTTTCACACGCTTAGAGGTTAACCTATGGGATAGTCAACGGCATGCAAAACTGCTTTCTTGTCTGAAGAATGCTCTCCTCCTAAGCCTGAAGCATCATCCTGTGTGTGTGTACATTTATGTGTCTGTCTGCTTTGAGGACTTTATTATAAAAGGTGTTAGTTAGGTGAGTGACTATTCTTCTATATACTCTACATTGTATCCTTAGATCAAACAAGCATATTAGTATCTAAACTGAATTATGTTAGCTTATAGCTGACTTTAATCATATGAAATGATGCCTTGGGGTCATGCCATGGGCTTGAATTGGTGGGTCTTAAAATAAGTATTTTTGCATTTATTCTAGAGATATTTTTGAGGACATGGTTCAGTAAATTCCAAAAGTCTTCTTCTGAGGATCTAAACTGTTAATTTCTTTACCATCCAAGGATCAGAAGAAAGCTGTGCTTATGTGTTCTTTGTGTGTTGGGCACACAAGCATCACATCTTCTACCCTCTACTCATTCTTTCAAAGGAACTTAGAACATATGTTCACTGGCTTCATTTTTCCCCTACTCATTGTTTTCTTTATCCTTGTCTCTATTTACTTTTAAAACCTTGCTATGATATATGTAATAATGTGAATCACTTCAAACCATTTTTATAATAGCTTGGAATTAAAATAAACATGCATCCTATTAAAAACTCATAAACCCCTTTTTATCTTCTTATTTCCACCTTCATGTGCTTAGTTATAATTATCAGGCTCTCCTAAGGAGAGAAACCTGTTTCCCTAATGTTGACAACTACATTTCTTACATCCAGATGGTATGAGGCTAAAACTGTCGCCTTTCAAACACTCATATGTAGCTGAGAGGGAGGAAGGGAAAATTTATTAAGTCACAGTTTCAGTCCACGAAGCCCGAACTATTGGTGTCATCAAATGTTGCACAGCCTACAACTCTCGGAGGGCTCCAGGATCCTGGCATGGTGCCACTCTAAGCCATCCGTTTTCCTAGGGGAAATTAAGTGTATCTGACAAAATTTCCCAGTCTAGTTCATTTGCTCACAGTGTTACTGTGATGGGAATCCAGGCCTTGAGCCAAGGTTAGGTCCCACATATTCTGGGCACGTCTCCTGATAGAGTTCAGAAGTTCTGATGAGCTTCATACTTTCAATCTGCAGGCATCCTCACCATATTACATGTGGTCCTTCAAAGTGTCGTCAGCATTTTATGGTTAAAATATTGTAAAGAAAACTTTTTGGACCATTAGCAATTATAGGCCTAGCTAAGCCCAAGGGTTTTCCATTTCAACTTAGCCTGCCTGCCTTTTATGCTCTATTTCCCTGCAGTTTCAACACCATGAAGGTGGCCGACAGCAGCAGGTGGGACCTGACTCTTGAAGCAGGGAAGTTCTCCGTTAGAAGGAAGAATCTACGGAAGATACCAGGCACATTCCCAAGAGAGCAGACGTTGTGGCCAGTGGAGTGAAAGTGGGCTGCATATGAGTTAAAACTGTTGATACTCTGAACACCCTGAGTAGGTATTTCTGCCAGATGGTGTCCTAACAAAACTCTTAAATGAAACACTGAATGAAGTGGAGAAATGGCCCTGTTTAATAGAGGTTCATTGCTGACGGTTAACTCTGTGACTACATTATAGCAGTGGGGCTGTTGTCTAAAAGTGAAAATGAAAGAAAACAAAGACACATAAGCTCAGAGCAGGATGTGGCCGGACGATCAGAGTTTGTCCATCTGCCTTCTTCACCGAGAAGGTAACTTTTTAAGACCATTTGTGAAATAATCACTGAATAAGGAAAAAGGTATTCTGACCTCATTTTTTCAAAACTGCAATCCTGCACTGACATGTGTGGAACCTGGGGCTATGAGACCCAGAAAAATTGAGCCCAGGATTGTTGTGCTGTGTTTATTACATCAAGTACTGGCTTCCAGAGGTCCCTGGGACATGGGGAGTTGTGGGGTTGGATGGGCTTCTCCATGGTGGGTGTGGCAGGGGGAGGTGAACTTGACCTCAACCTTCTGATAAATGGCTTCCCAAAGCAAGTGGGGTGCAGGGCCTGAGAACACAGAGTGAAATAATGCTGGGGTCGCAGTCAGTGTGTTCATGCCACAGAAAGTAAGGCCTTAGGGAGCCTCCAGGCAGGTTCCAGGGTCTCAGGGCTGGAGACACAGAGGTGGGACGTTGCACAGCTGGAACTCTTTGAAGGAGCAGAGCAGCAATGAGTGGGTCACAGAGGTGTCAGAAGACATGCACAGGGGCACTGGGCTTTTTGTTGCTGAGAGGGTTTGATAATGCTCATCTTGAAGTGATTTTTAAAAAAAATAAGTTTGAATAATTCAGTTTCTGTTATTTTGCAATTTAAAATGCAAATGATTTCCAAGGCTGCTCAGTTCGTTCCCGACTGGAATCTTACAGATTGCCTCCAACTCTACTTTTTTCTTTCTTTTTTAGTTTCCTCAGAGACTTAACATACCTATTCTTTATCAACCAAATTTCATATTATAATGATTTTTATCTTTTCATTTAAAATCACACATGAAGAAAAAAGACTTGAGGGATAAATAATATGTTGATATGCTATCAGTGATTATTTCTAGAGGATACGTGATGCCATTACGTCTGTCATGTCTCTGTATTTTTCAAATTGTCATCATTGAACCTGTATTGCTTTAATGCTCAGAACTAATTGATGCTGGCTATATCACATTTTTATCTAAATATGGCTATATCTCCAATAACCTTTTTAAACCCATTAAACTGCTTCCTTTAATACACATACACATCTTCACTGAAAACAAAGTTATAAAAAATTCAGTCTTCAGCATGTCACAGTTTCTGTATATGTCTGTATAGGTATTAGCTCCCACATCACACTGGAGATCATAACATATCATTCTGTACAATATCTTGCTCATTGCCAAGGAGCAAAGTTACATGGATTTCTGTTCTCTAAACCTTTTACATCTCTGTTATATGTAGAGTTTTTTACATAAAATTTTATAAAAATATGAACAGCTGAGAATATATGTGTATTATGCAAATGTATTATACATATTTTATACATATGTTTACATTTAATACTTAGGATTGTTTTTTGTATAGTTACCTTACTAAGTCTTAAAAGTATTTTTCCATTATTCTGAATCAATTACACATGGAAAAAAAAGGGGGGAACAATTTAGGTAAAGTTCTTCAACTCTTCAGATGGTGGTGATTGTAGATGCATAGTATCCTATACCTGGGCTCTGTACTAAACACATCTCAGATAGGACTGTTGGCTTCCATTGTTGCAGCGCAGTCAGAAACTTCAGTAGCTGAACTAATATTTTGATATTGGAAAGAACATCTCACGTGAAGCCAGAATAGACAACGAAAATTATCCTTTGCCTGGTGTCTGGGAAATTTGCTGGTAGTCAACAAGTATGGCTATTACACGCAGAGGGGTTCTTAGTCATTCAAAGTCACACAGAATTTTTTAACTGAAACTTTATTTCAATATCATTTTGTAATCTTGTATTTTAAACATTAAATGCCTGGGGGATAAACGATTTTCTTCAATATACTGCAATGCTAGTGTATCAAAGGTGGAAGAGATTGAAATAATATTTACTCAAATCTTATCATTTTACAGTTTACATAAGAGGTTCAGTTCTGAGCAAATGCTGTATATGGTGTAAGGTGGGGAGATCAGTTTTTATCATTTCTAATTAATGGATTACTATTTATTGCAAAAATTGGCCCTTCCTAATGAATTGCAATCGAGCCTTTGTCATCAATCTGGTGACTTCTTGGGCTACTCTCGGGCTCGTTAATCTAATCTCCAGTGGTCTGTGTATCTATACTTGCCCAGCATTACTCTGTATTGATATTAGTGTTATTTCTTCTCCAGCTTTATTATTTATTAGCATTGGCTTGCCTATGCTAGTTCCTTCCTATTTACATGTAAATATTAAAATTATCTTGCCAATTTCTACAAAAACAACCTTTTGAGATTTTGATTGGGATCGCATTGACTCTGAATCAATATTGGGAGAATTGGTTTTTAAAAATATTGATCTATCTAATCCATAAACATGGTATGTCCCTCCACTTATTTAATCCTTCATTGCTCTCAGTTTTATTTTTAAAGGCTGTGTAGATGTCAACATTTTTTAAGTATTTAATATTCTATTGTAAATGGTGTTTACAATTTTACTTCCCAGATATTTGTCACTACTTTAGAGAAATAAAGTTGATTTTTATACTGACCTATTAGCATTGTTGCATGCACTTGTAATTTTTATTAAATTGTAGATCTTTTAGCTTCTAAAAAGTACATAAACATGCCATGTATGAATAATGACAGATTACTTTTTTCTTTTCCAACTATAATGCCCTTTCTTTAACTAATGGCCAGAATGCAGAACAGTGGTAACTGTAAGTGGTGATGGTGGATGTAATTTTTCTGTTCCTGACTCTGTGTGGATGAAATGAGAGTTTCTGTGGCCAGGATTCTCACCTGGCCTTGGTTGACTAACTCACTGCACACCTGTGGGCAATACATGGCTGTTGACTCTATAAAAAGAGCTCCGCCCAGTGCTCTGGGCATGACATGGTGGCAGGGCTGCAAAGCTGCAGGAGAGCAGAGCAGAGGCTGGAGTGGCGGCAGTGCCAAGGACAGAGGCCCAGAGAATGGCTGTGCGGGACAACTGTGCAGACAGAGGAGCCCAGAGGCAGAGACTGGCTTGCTGCATACGCCTCGCTCTGAGTGAATTGGATTCTAGTGACTGACCTGCCACCTGAAAATAAAGTTGGGTGTAACCCTTTCACCCCAAAGAGCATTCTGCTGTCAATTTTCTTTGGTCATATTGAATCCATAGTGAACTTGCCCTGGGCTGAAACCCATTGGCAGAAGGTTTTCAATATTTAACCATGAAGTGTGAAAGCTATATGGTTTTAAAGATAACCGCAACCTTTGTAGATAACCTTTGTGACTACAGAAGTCCTTCTATTTCAGTTTGATGGCTTAAAAAAAACCTTAAATGGGTGTGTAAATTGGGATTAATTAAAATTAAGAACTTTTGTTGATCAAATACACCATTAAGAGTATAAAAAAAAGTCACAGACTGGCAGTATGTATTTACAATATGTGGGGCTTATAAAATAGATAATTCAATTAAAATGGGCAATAACTCCTTGAAAGGGTGGTTGATGGCCAAAGCTGGTATAAAATGAACAAGAAAATTTTTAAAAACTCTTGGATTATACTCCAAGAATAAAATAAATATCCATGAGTCAATACTGATATAAAGAAATGGTTAAGTAAAAAAATAAATGAGAAGGGACAAATAATCCTTACTAAAGAATTCAAAACAATATGTGCAGATGCTCCCCACCAGGATGTTGGACTTAATTCCTTTTCCCTTGTGTGTGGGTTGCACTTCAGTTACCACCTCCAAATGCAGAGGGAAACAATGACGGCCAAGTGGAGAAACCTGTTGCATACTCCCTTGCCCAAGCCATGAAGGGTTACTCACCAGTCCTAAATTGCATCAATCTCATCTGCTCTCTGGAAGGTTGCAATGAGATGAATGCTTCAGCTCTATGGTACTCTACTGAGAGAGTTACCTTAGAGAGAAAGAGTTAGTGCTTGTAGGGCCTTTGAGACCACAATGATGATTCTAAGTTTTGCTTGAAAATCAAGAGAAATATATTCAGGGTACACCAAGTTGAGATTTTTGCAGGAGCACAGGAAGCAGAAAGGGAGGTCAGAGGAGCTAGGTGTTCTGGGGCTTAGGAGCCATGAGCAGGGCCATCTGGTGAACAATGCTATAGAAGGTCCCACAGGCAAGGAAGACCTCCCCTAGCGGCCAACAGCAAGCAAGAGGCCATGCTTCAGCTTTGAAATCACACAGGCCATGAAAAAATGCGTTTATCAACATCCATATTGAAACAAAAAAAGATCCAACTATATTGTTCAAAATTATTCTTTAAATGCCAATTAGACATCAATGGAGAAAATAGTACCTAAGGCCATGTTTTTCATATTGCTATAATACCCATTACCTCCAAAGTAACCAATGCTAATACAGAAAGTCATTTTCTCACTACACACTCAGTAATGAAGTGACTTCTAGAAGGGATTGCCTAGTTGATTTATTACTGCTGCTTGGTGATAGGAAGACTTCCACTGGAAGGCATTTATAATTTATCAAGTTTTGTTGGCCTATAGAAGAGTAATTACTTTTCCAGGGCTGATGTGATATATGGACCAATACAAGCACTAGGGGTATGAACAATGACCAATCCTTTACTCAAACAAAATTAAACTGTAACACATTTACTATATGCACAATACTCATTTAACATTTTCCAGGAATGGTTCTGAAAATATCCCAATCTCCAAATCCCCAACTATGATATCATAGAGACATTGTCCCTCCATGCATGTGACAGCCAGGAGCTAGGGGCAGTCATTGACCAAGTGATATGTTTTTGTAACTGAAATAAAATCATGCTCCAAAAATTATAAAGCAGCATATGGCACAACTTTCAAAGTGACTCATGAATAATGAAATCACAAAGGCTAACCTTAGAGGTACCAGTGTGTTTTTAAGATTCAGTGATGCTAAGACTATAAAGCTGATTTTCTAATCATAACCTTTTTATATCTTTCTATACTACTAAGACATTCGGATATTAAAACTAAAAGATGAAAAATGATGAGAGCACAGGTGTCTTCAAATAGTCATGTGGAATGGTGTGGGGGGTCACGGGGAAAACAGGGTAGTACAGAGAAAAGACATAGGGGATCTGTGGCATCTTGCTGCACTGATGGACAGTGACTGCACTGGGGTAAGGGTGGGGACTTGATAATATGGGTAAATGTAGTAACCACATTGTTTTTTCATGTGAAACCTTCATAAGAGTGTATGTTAATCATACTTTAATAAAAAATTTAAAAAAATAATAAATAAAATAAATAAAAACAATTAAAAAAAATAGTCATGTGGAAGATAAAATAGATTCTATACCACAGAGTGTAACACAAAAATAATAATGATAGTGAGAAAGAAAATTTAGGTCTATTATAAGAAGAACATACCTAATGATTGCAGTTATCTAATAATGAAATGGTCTGTTTTCTGTTTGTAACTACAGGGGAAAATCCTGGGGCAAAATACCTTTGAAACCAAAATCAGTCAAAGGGAGAAATAAAGTGGGAAAACCCATTTATTTCTTACAAGCAGTCGTCCACTTCTGCTCTCCCATTTCTCTTGAGACCCGGCTACAGAAGAAGGGACCCCACCCAACCTCTCTGGTCAAGATATGCCCTCACTTGCCCTTGTAATTACCTATTGATATGGAGATGCACTAAAGACAGGTGAGAGATTCTGGAAATATTGCAATTTTACCCGCACTGTTTGTTTGCAAAGCAATGGGTTTCTCATCATAGAAAGTATTTAATAGAACCTGAGATCAATGTCAGAGAAAAGCTATAAGTAATTCCTACATGAAGTGCAGTTTGGACTAGATTCCCTGGGAAATGGCTTGAGACTAAGTATTTGGCTTGTTGATATACCATAAAAATAAGTCAAAGTTCTAGGTAGCATTCCTGTTTTGGAACAGAATAAAATCTATTAAATGAGTGAATGACTTTATCCATTTTGGTGGTACATTTTAGAAAATCTTGTGTCAGACTACATTTCTTGGAGAAAAGTAGATATACTTTTAAACTTCCTGAGCCCCATAAACATGAAGGAAATTATTTCAAATACTGTATGTTTTCAAATGCCCCTCTGTTCCTCCTTATCCCATCAACACAAAAGTCCTAAGTTGTTGAGAATGAGGTGGGGTGGAAGGTGAAGCCAGCTGTAATGAACAGTCACTAGTCGCTCTGGGGTCCCTCTGACCTTTTGACCTTTCTTCTGACATGAGCGCCTCCCTTTCCTTTGTGGGAACTGTCCAACCCCTGTGCTTCTGTTCCAGTCCTAATCCCTCTTCTTTCCCACCCTTTATCACAGTAATCAGTTCAGGAATTATGTGACCCAAGCTAACCCTGACCAGCAGCTTCCCCAAGGTTCCCCAGATGTTGACAGAACATGAATTGTCCCTTTCCTTGTGATTTCCTAAGCCGTGGCTTGTTGGCTCAGCGTTACTGGAGTGCAGATTCCCTTCTCTAAGGATAGAGCCCATTGGGAGTAAAGACAGCATTCTAGCCCTTTCTCTATACTACCAAAGAGAAGAATTTCTAAAACCCAACTGGAGCTAGTTTTAGGGAGAAAGCGAGGGCTATTATCTACTGAATAGCATCCTAGGGAAGAACTACATGAGCCAGGGTAGTTCTAGGTCTTGTACCTTCAAATCTGAGTAAGGATCCAATGGTTATTACATCTCAGCACATCTCATCTCTTCTTCTATATGCAGATGGGCTCAGTCCTCTTTGAATTCAGTGTATTTTGAGGCCCTGCCAGGAATTGTGAATGGTGGGAACCGATACACACAGGTGACCATGTGAATCCCTGGTATTAACTTGTGTTGTGGTTAGAGACAAAGAATGTCAAAGAAGCAGGTAATCAAGACCACTAAAACGCACCTCTGGGACAAGTACCAGACACTAAGATCATGGAAGGGGGAACTTAACCCTGCACTGGAGATCAGAAATTCATGCAGTTTTGTGGAACATTTCAGGAAGCCTTGTATTCACATGTGTTTCTTGAGGAAGTAATTTGAATTACTCCCAAATGGTCTGAAAGAGATAGCCAGGTTGAGGGGCAGGAAGAGCGCTCCATTACATTAGCAGTGACATCACTAAAGCTAAGAGTGTGTTTGAAAGGCTTCACATTCCTCTAGTGTCCTTGTCTTTGTCTCCCCATTGTGTCTGAGCTTCCCTAAGGACCCCTCCTTAGGTAGAGTTTTTGTGCTCCTCTCAGCTCTAACCCACTGTTATTATACCACAGCCCTGCTGGTGTGACCTTGTGATGAGTGGTGGAAGTGTCCTAGTATCTTATGATTAAATCTAAGTCTTCTAGTGGAGTTCTGTCTGTAGGTTGTAGCCTTCACAAGTTTTTCTTAGCTTTACTTGTCCCACTTAGGCCATGCAGGAAGACTAGAAGTGGAAAGAGGTGGGAAATACCCTTTCCCAGGTGGGATGAGGTGTTTGGAAAAGGCTTGAACACTGGAGAACAGGTCTTTGCTACGGAGAACGGTCCAGGTGTGTTTCACAATGGTTGCTTTCCCTACCCTTCTGCCAGAGCCTGGAGGGGACCTTCTTGATTCTTCATCTCCAGGGTCTGGTGGGTTACTGAAGATAAAGTCATGAAAGCATGGCCTATCCTCAAGAAGGCACCCTCTAAAGTTTTTTTATTCTCATACTATTCCACATTCAGCTTGTACAAACTCATCAAAATTACTATTTCAATGTTTCTAATAGTTTGTAGTGACTCCAGCAGCTTCTGCTCTACATATGTAAATCTTGATGGTAACTCCCTGGATTTGTCCATCTTTTCAGGTTTTGGGGTGGCAGAAAGACCTGGGAACTCAATTTTTGGATGTGTCCAAGAAAAGTC